CAGAGAACTGCAAGAAATGACAATGAGTTTATTCACAAGTTGATCATGGGAGATGAAGCTCATTTCCATTTGAACGGACATGTGAATAAGCAGAATATGAGATTTTGGAGCACCGAAAATCCACACCAAGGTCATGCGAGTCCATTACACTCAGTTAAAGTCACAACATGGTGTGGAGTAACATCAGAAAAGGTTATTGTGCCCTTCTTCTTTGAAGATGTAAATGAAAATGCTGTGACTGTAACTGCTGAGAAATATTAAGACATGCTAGCGAATTTTGTTCAACCTCAGTTAGCAAACATGGCAGGGTATTAGTGGCAACAAGATGGAGCAACTGCACATACCGCTAGAGCCACAATGCAGTTGTTAACTGCAATGTTTCAGGATCAGATAATCTCTCTTAAATTCGATTTTGAATGGCCTCCACGTTCTCCTGATTTGACAGCACCAGACTTTTGGCTTTGGGGATATCTTAAAGACAAAGTGTAATAATAATAAGCCCCAAACTATTCAAGATCTTAAGGCAAACATACGACAGGAATTTCTTTTCCTACAACCTCAGATGTTAAGAAGTGTTGTGGAGAATAGCTTAAAAAGAGCTCGACATTGTGAAGACAAGAATGGAGGCTATTTAAGAGACATTATCTTTCGTAACTAAGTCAGAACTAACTTACAGATTCTAAACTTTGTAATAAAAAAAGAATTAATTAAATACAGTCGTTTAATAAAAAGTTATTTGATTTTTAAAATGTAAAGTGACTTATGGGCCACCCTGTACCTTTACACTTCATTTTTATCGCACTTTTTTAATTAAAAAAATGCCATTACCACAAGCATTTCGTTTAATTGAGACAAGAGTTACAATAACAGAAAACAAAATTTTACAAGGCTATATTTACAAACTTCATTTACAAGCTATTTACATGAGTTTGTTGTGAGAAATTCAGTCACAATCAAAAATGCAATTTTTAATGATTTCGTTAAACTTTTCAAATCGACTTATTAGGTTTGAATATATTAAAAAGAAAATATAAAAGTTTAAAAATATTTTTTAAAAATTAGACATATCAAAACATTTTTCTTTTCCTTATCATAATGTGGCATAATTATGCAATAATTTTTTGTAAAACGCTATTTAGTTTTAAATATTCTTAATTGCGTTTTTTTTTTTTTGTTTGTTTGTTTTTGTTTACATACGTGAAATACGCAACCATAATAAAAAATAAGCATAAAATTATCTCTAATTATGAATACTGTAAAAATTTAATGTTCAATGTTCAATGTCGCGTTACGTCATCGTTTAATGTTTTTTCAAGTAGATTCTAGGCTTTTTTTAGAGCGCGTTTTTTATATACATGCGGTCCACCCAAGGCGTACTTAAATAACAGGCCTTCTCATCGCGCAACGGCTTAAAAAATGTGAAGGCTGATTAAGTTAGCGGCAAAAGTTACTACGAATAACTTGTATCCCTACCAGAAGACTTAAAAATGCCCAGAAAATGTTGTGTTACTGGTTGTAACTCTAACTATGACTCAGTAAAAGATAAGACAACTACTTTCAGATTACCGAGAGATCCAGTAGAGCGTCTAAGATGGATTAAAGCAATCCCAAGAGAAAATATACCAGACAAACATGACACTGTAGTTTGTGCAAAACATTTTCCACCAAACTTCCAAGTTATTAAAGTAAAAGGAAGAGAAAGACCTCGAGATCCACCTAGTGTATCTGAACAAATACCCAAGAGTTTAGTGCCAACTCCTCCACCAGAAAAAAGAACAACAACAAAATCCAAAAGCTCTGTAAGATCAATAAAAGAAGATGAACTTTCAAAATTCGAAGATCTTTACAAAATTGATTCATTCGAAAATTTTTGTAATTTGTTATCTCTAGAAAAACTTAATGATTCAGTTGTTTATTATAATTGTTTAAATAGCTGTTGTATTCAATCAAAAGAGCATAAAAACAATACTGGTATTAATAAATTTTGTTTAATAGTATTTAATGACTTATCATATGAAGCCTATCATGCTGGAGTAAGATGCACTATTGCTTCCTTAGTTAAAAATCGTATTCATATATTCAAATGTTGGTCGCAAGTTCATGAGGCATTACGATATTTGATTTCCTTTGAAAAGTCAGAAAAGAAAACAGTTTTAATTCAGCAATTTGAATGCATGAGTAACATGAACTCAAGTAATATTCTTAAGCAAAAATATTCGCCTGAAGTAATTGTTCGAGCTTTTGAGTATTTTGCACAGTCACGTAGTTTATACAATCAATTAAGAAATGATTTTCAACCTAGTATTGCTACCCTTACACGTTTAACTTCAAAAGTTTCACACTTTGATGGTAATACTTTTATTTGTAGTGTTTTTTCAAAACTCAACAATGGTCAAAAACAATGTATACTATTATTAGATGAAGTTTATGTTAAACCTATGCTAACTTATCATGGAGGACAGTTGTTTGGTAAAGCAGTAAATGATGAATCAAATCTTGCAAAAACTGTATTGGCTTTCATGGTTGTATGTTTTTATGGAGGACCAAAATTTTTAGTTAAAATGTTACCAGTAAATAATTTAGATGCAGATTTTTTATATGATCAAACTGTTATCTTAATCAACCAAATTACGAAGGCAAATGGAAAAGTTATTGCTTTAATTAATGATAATAATAGAGTAAATCAAGCATTTTTCAAACGATTTGATTGCATATTTCCATGGTTAACAACTGATGGCATTTTTTTACTCTTTGATTTTGTGCATTTAATAAAGTGTATACGAAACAATTGGATAACTGAAAAGTCTGGTGAAATTGAGTTTAGTTATAGAGGAAAAAAATATAATGCTAAATGGGATCACATCAAAAAGCTTCAAAAGTTAGAAGAAGGTGAATTGGTTAAAATGTCTAAGTTGACTTATGTTGCTGTTAACCCAAGGCCAATTGAGAGACAAAAAGTTGATACATGTTTAAAAGTTTTTTGTGAAGAGACTATAAATGCATTAAAGTGTCATCAAGGTATGAAAGATGATGATATTGATGGAACTATTATTTTTTTAACTAAGGTGGTTCAATTTTGGAAAATAGTCAACGTTAAAAGTCCATCTGAAGAAATCCATTTAAAAGACAACTTACGAGCTCCCATATCATATGTTGATGATTTACGATTAAATGATTTAATTGAGTTTTCTGAAATGTTAAAGCCAACATTGATTCAAGGAAAAAGAATTAGAAGTATAACCATGGATACAAGCAATGCATTATATCAAACTTGTAATGGTTTAGTTGAACTAAGTAAGCATTTGTTAGACAATTCTCAAATGTATGTACTGCTTGGGAATTTTACAACAGACCCCATAGAAAGAGCATTTGGAAAACTCAGACAAGGTAGTGGGGGAACTTATTTTATAAATACTCAACAAGTAATTGAAAAGTGGAATATCAACAAAACCAAACTATTTCTTCAGAAAACTATCAACATTTCAAGTGCTGAGTTTACATCTGGTCATATTTGTGATAATTTTTTTTATAAACTTTCAGAAGATGAGTGTGAGATGTTTAATCATTTACATGAACTTTTAGACCAACTTTCATCGAATATTAAGTCATCTTTAGTTTACATTGCAGGTTATATTTCTAGAAAAGACAATGAAGATGATAACGATGACACTTATCTGTATTATAGTAATTATGGAAATTTTACATCTGCCTTAGATCGTGGTGGTCTGAAAATACCCAGTGATACATTTTGTGAATGGGTATTCTTAAGTTACATTTTATTTAATTTTGTTGGCACATCAAACTTTTGTAGATATTTTATGTCCTGCTTATTCATGGATATTGCATGTATTTATGGTTTCACCATAATTACAAGAAACCATTGTTATATTCTTACAAATATATTATTTAACAATTTTTGCTATATGCATTCACCTGCATCAGACAAGGAAACCAAAGTTAAAGCTTTAAAACTGTTTTGTTAGCTTTTGTGAATAAATATACCATAAAAAGTTTCCAATTTAACTTTAGATGATATTTCGTTTAAAAATTGTTAATTTATATTTTTACTTTTTAATTCTTTCTGTTAAAGTTTCATTGTATGCAAATACATAGAAGTAGCTTGGTTATCTTTTGTTATTGTTATTTTTGAACTTACAAGGTGTTGTTTTTTTTTTTACTTTCTTGACAAAATAACAATTATTTTTGTTTTATAAACGTTTTTGTAATAAAAATATCGACTTCTTTATAAAATGATAAAATATTATTTAATAAAAAATGGCATCGTTTAAGCCTTACATTCTTCTTATCCTTAGTTTTTTATTTAATCAGGTTATGCATTTAGAGAAATAGACTAAAATAATCAAATCACAAGCTCCTACTATATTGTTAAAAAAATTTTTAAATATTTAAAACTTAAAAAAAAAATTGTTTAATAGTTGAGAGCATCAAAACCAAATCAGCCTCCACATTTTTCAAGCCGTTGCGCGATGAGAAGGCCTGTTATTTAAGTACGCCTTGGGTCCACCCAAAAGGTCTACCGAGCCAGACCTGACGAACTTCTCTTAACTTTTTAGGGAAATCATTTTTATATAGTTTCAATTTACATGTTTACTTAAGTTGAATTTTGCAATTTTTTATTTTATAACGTTGTTATGTTGTTATAAAAAGAAGAGTTGTAAAGTAAAAATCTTATTTTTACTTTAATTTTATTAATTTAATTATATTGTAGATTAGAGATTAAAAAAAAGAAAAATGAACGGTAAAGTTTTTATTTTAATCTTTTTTCAAAACATTTTATTTGTTTAACATCAAAGGAGTCTTATTGTAAGGAAAAATTTAAACTATGTGAAAACTATTTTAACGATTTAAAAGATAAATAAGACTTATTAATAATCATAATAATAATAATAATTTAAGTTACATTTTAAGTACATTATCAAGTATATAGATTTTTTTTTTCTGTTTATTTAATGTGTAACTTTGATTTTTTGTTTTTTTTGGTTTACTATAATTTATTATTTTTTCATTTATATTTTGATTTATATTATTATTGTAAATAATATTTATTTCTATTTAGTTAACCACGGAGATGAAACTGAAGGTAAGTGTTGATTTTTTAAATATTTAAGTATAATTTATTATTTTTTCATTTATATTTTGATTTATATTATTATTATTGTAAATTCTATTTAGTTAACCACGGAGATAAAACTGAAGGTAAGTGTTGATTTTTTAAATATTTAAGTAGAATTTAAAATATTAGTAGTATATAGTAGAGTATTTTTGGAGTTGAATTTTCATTTAGTTGACAATGATGGGGAAGATGAAAGTAAGTTTTAAATTTTATAACTATTTTAGTAGAACTAAATATATATGTTAATGATAACTTCTGTCTAAAACAAGATGTTAATTGTATATATAATTTGTTTAGTTTATCATAAGCGACCTGATAAAAGTATAATCGTTAGTTAGCCAATTAGCAATTAATTTTGTTTTTAAAATTATTGAATTTTTATAATATATGTCTTTAAAAGATTTTAATAAAAGTGTATTTAAATTTATTGTTTAGACAAAGCACTAAAGAAATACAGTCAGTATTTTTGTCATTAAATATTTGTTATTAGGATTTAATAATTTGTACTGTTTACTTTTAACTTGCTTTTTACTTTATAGGAAAATTGAAACTTAGACTAGGTATAAATTATTTTATAATTTTACCAATTGATAATTTATATATATATATATATATATATATATATATATATATATATATATATATATATATATATATATATATATATATATATATATATATATATATATATATATATATATATATATATATATATATATATATATATATACATAAATATATACACACACACACACACACACACACACACACACACAGAGTAGTGATAGAGCCTTAAATTTAACTCAACATTGTTAATTCATCCTAATTTAAAGATATTTTTTCAAATTACTGATTTGATTGATTTTTTTTTATGTCTTTTTTATAAAATTTTCAAGTTTTTTTTTGTTTTAGATGATTTTATGGAAGAAATGAGGAAAACAGGTAAAAATTATATTTAGATACATACATACTTTTTATTATTAACTATTATATGTTTTATAATTTTTAACATTAATTTTTTTTTAAGTGTCATTATTAGTGTCTAACCCTGTGACAACTGGTAGGGTTATGCTTTTTATTTTTTTGCAATTATATTGTAGATTATTAAAATACAAATATTACATTTGTTTTTTTTTTTTTTTTTTTTTTTCTATTCTACTCTTCTTCTTTTTTCCCTCTTTTTTTCAGCATCGTTCTCTGGTACTACTTCAACATGTAGGGTTATACTTTATATTTAAATAAAATACAAGTATCAACATGTTTAGTTTATATTTTTTTCATTTTTTTAGCATCATCATCTGATATGACTGCAACTGGTAGGGTTATGCTTGATAATTTTATTTAAGTACAAAGATTAACATGTTCAGTTTTTATTTATCCTACTCTTATTTTACCCTACTTTTATTTTATTTTTTATTTCTTTAGCGCTGACATCTGGTACTACTACAATTGGTAAAGTTATGCTTTATTTTTTAATTGAAATACAAATATCGACATGTTCAGTTTTTATTTTATTTTTTCCAATTTTTTAGCATCGTCATCTGGTACTACTACAACTGGTATGATTATGTTTTATATTTTTATGCATTTTTTTTCAAATTGCAATTTTATTCAAAATACAAATATGAACATGTTTGGTTTTTATTTTATTTTTTCCATTTCTTTAGCATCGTCATCTGGTACTACTACAGTTGGTAGGATTATGTTTTATATTTTTATGCGTTTTTTTTCAAATCGCAATTTTATTCAAAACACAAATACCAACATGTTCAGTTTTTACTTTATTCTACTTTTTTTTTCCTTCTATTTCTTTAGCATTGTCTGGCACTGCTGCAACCGGTAGAGTTATGCTTTTATCTTATTATTATTTTAAATGCAAATATCTATTTTTTTTATTATATTATTTTTTATTTCTTTAGATCTAAATTGGAGCAGCTACAGGCTTTATCGCTCCCAGCACCCAGGACCTCTTTCTGAGAGGTCCTTTAACAAATGGTGCCTTAATAATGGTATGGATGAGCCCTCATTTAAATGGAGAGCTCATCCATACAAGGGTGCTGGGAGGCACCAAGGAAAAAACAGCAACAAAAAAATTTTAAATATCTTCAATCAGTGAAGATATTTACAATTTTTTTGTTGCTGTTTTTTCCTTGGTGTTTTATTCTCAAAGAAATAATTTATAATTTTAATTTTGTTTGTTTTTATTTTTTTAGTATTTGTTTAGACTATTAATTTTTGACTAGACATTTATTTTTTGGTTCACAATATAACATGACTGTAATTGTCCCCAATATATATATCATATCAGTTAAATCAGAAAAATGTACTATAGTAGATAATTAACTGTAAAAAAAACCACATGTAAATTTCTAATATTTTAAAGTTTATAATTTGTTGATTTTTACCAGATTTTATTTCTTTTCATTGTTTCGAATTTAATAGTTTAGTGTTTATAACTGCTTTTAACTTATGTTAAGCTTTAATAAATTTAATCTTCTAATTTTTATCTAATATAGATATTTTAATATGTAAAATAGATAGTCTTAATAATAAAGAAAAAAAAAAAGTAAGTAATAAGAAAAAAGAAAAACAGATAGATAATCTTTTATATATTGAATTTGAATTTTGTCATGTTGCTTATTATATTATTGACATTTCAATGATGCTGTTAGGTTTTTTCTTTATTTCTTTAGAATTTAGAAAATTAAATTAAACTACAACTTTTGAACAGTCATTTCATTGTTTGTGAAGGTTAAATTATTTTAATATTTTTTAAACAATTTTTTTATAGAAATAATTTGAAGTTTACAAAAAGGGTTTACAAATACTTTATTTTTTAATTTTTTTCTTCTATTTTTTGTTTAAGCAGCACTTTTATTATTAAAATTTATTATTCAAATTTTATTATTCATTATTTTTTAATCCTATTCGTTATTTTTTTATTTAGATTATTATTATAAGTTAATTTTTTGTTTAAACATCTCTTACCAGATATATTTATGAAATTTTTTTTATAAAAAATGCACAAGATTGTTGTATAATTTAGTTTATTTTAAATAAAAATTTCCTGCCATTTTTTAAAAATAATTTGTATGTACAATTTAGAGTAGTAAAAAAAAAAAAGATCACAATCTTCTGGATTAATTCAAGTTTTTTTGTTACTATTATCAATTAAAAGTAAAATTTAAATGGATGAAAATGTTAATAGGCAAGTTGAAAATAATCGTCGCAGAAATGAAAGAAATAGGCTGAGGCGAGATGAAATTAATAATCAACAGAATGCTAGATATGCTGGTAGACATGAAAGAATGCATTGTATAGCAAGAAGTAATACTATTCCAGATTATAATTATTTAGGAGAAATGAATCATATTTGTCAGCATTGTGGTGCTAAGAAATTTCCTGATGAAACACATTTTTTATGTTGCCATAATGGAAAGGTAGTTTTGTCTCAACTTTCACCATTTCCGCAAGATTTACAAGATTTATTTACAGGAAGTTATGTAGATCGAAATGCCAATGTGAGTTTTCTAAAATATATTCGAAATTATAATGCCTGTCTTTCTTTTGCTTCATTTACCGTTAATGTAGTTCAACCCATGAATCATGGGCCGCCATGTTTTAGAATATGTGGTCAGGTTTTTCATCGTGTTGGTAATCTTAGGCCAGATCAAGATATTCCTCCAACATATTGTCAACTATACATTTATGATCCACTTGCAGCAATAAATTTTAGAATGTGACAACCTGGTAATGATCTTTGCTTAAATGATTTAATGTTTCGGTTGCAAACTGTTATTAGTGAGGAGAACCCATTTGCTCTCGCATTTAAAAACATGGCTGAAGTGGAAGATGAAGAAATTCGCCAAGCAGCTATAGAAGGTCGCTCAGTCTCAGTTGTAAAAATGTCTTTACTTGAAGGGCAAGATAGACGTCGCTATAATCTCCCTACACATAATGAAGTTGCAGTTGTATTTGTTGGTGAAGATGGTGCTCCTCCTGCTTCCAGAGAAGTTGTTATTTACCCGAGAGGTCATCCTCTTAAAACTATATCAAGTATGTCTGCCAACTTAGATCCTATGATTTATCCTCTATTTTTCCCAAGGGGTGATGCTGGTTGGCATAATCAATTGGTTCACAACCCTGAACGTGCTACATTGGTTAGAAATCATGTTACATTATCTCAGTATTACAATTATAGACTTTCGGTTAGACAAATTTTTTCTTCAATCTTTTATGGCAAGAAACTATTTCAGCAATATGCTGTTGATGCATATGTCAAAATTGAAGGCCAGCGCCTTGCTTTTATCAGAAATAACCAAAACAAACTTAGAAGCGAGCAGTATGATGCCTTACATGAACATGTAGACAACCTTGGAAACGATCATAATGTTAGAGTAGGGTGCATTGTAGTTTTGCCATCTACTTATGTAGGAAGTCCTAGAGCTTTAAAAGAAAACTTTGAAGATGCTATGGCTATAATTAAAAAGTATGGTAAACCAGATCTTTTTATTACTTTTACCTGCAACCCAAAATGGCGCGAGATAACTGAAAATTTATATCCAGGTCAAACTGCAAATGATAGACCTGATTTAGTTACACGAGTATTTAAACTCAAATTAAATAATCTCCTAAATGATATTTTTAAGCATGGTGTATTAGGGAAAGTCGTAACCCATGTTCATGGTATCGAATTTCAAAAGCGTGGTTTACCACATGTTCATATTTTACTTCACTTTGCCACTGATGACAAGCTGGAGACAGCACAGGATATCAATAGTTTAATATGTGCTGAAATTCCAGATCCAATTATAAATCGTGAACTTTATGATGTTATTAAAACTTGCATGATTCATGGCCCATGTGGCATACTGAATCCAAATTCTACCTGCATGAAAGATGGGGTGTGCAGCAAAAATTATCCTAAAGAATTTAATGCCAACACAGTAGTAGTTCATAATGGTTATCCTCGCTATAGGCGTCGTGATAATGGTTTGGTTATCAATATTAAAGGCAACAATGTAGATAACCGCTGGGTGGTACCTTACAATCCATGGTTATCAAAGAAATATCAAGCCCACATTAATGTTGAAGCTTGCATGTCTGTTAAGGCTGTTAAATATTTGTACAAATACATATACAAGGGTCACGACTGTGCCAATATTTTGATAAATGAACAAATTAATCATGATGAAGTAAACACTTTTTTAGACTGTCGTTATGTTAGTGCACCTGAAGCATTGTGGCGAATTTTTGAGTATCCCATAAGTCATATGTCACACACTATTATCCGCCTTAAAGTTCATCTTCCTGAGAATCAATTAGTGTATTTTAGAGAAGGAGCAGAACAAATGGCTTTAGATCGTGCAGCTCAACGTGATACACACCTTACAGCATGGTTCAAGTTAAATTCTGAAAATGAAAGAGCACATTGCTATTCATATGTAGACATTCCTTATCATTTTATATTTGATGATAAGCTTTGTGAATGGAAGGTTAGACAAAGAGGTGGTAATAAGGTGATAGTAAGAATGTATAAAGTTAATCCAAGTGGAGAATTATTTTTTCTTAGGCTGTTACTTTTGCATGCAAAAGGAGCCAAGTCTTGGGTGGATGTGCGTACTGTTAATGGTATTGTTGTTGAAACATTTCGTGAAGCATGCGTTTTAAATGGTTTGTTACAAGATGACACTGAATGGCAAAATGCACTTTCTGAGGCAGTTTTAACACGTATGCTAAAGCAAATTAGACAGTTATTTGCAATTATTTTGACTTTTTGTGAACCAGACAATCCTTTGCATCTTTGGAATACATACAAAGCATTTATGATTGAGGACTTTATTCACCGCTCAGTCCCGCTTATAATAGCTGAACAAGCTGCTCTTTGTCAAGTTGAAAAGATTATTAATCAGTGTGGTAAAACGCTGGCGGATTATAATTTGCCTGTTATTGAGTTAGATTTTAATCTAGATAATCTAGAAAATTTCAATCAAAATGTTCAACAATCAATTGATGAAGCCAATAGAATGAGACCACTGCTCAATGTCAATCAATTAAATGTATGTTATGCTATTCTTGCTGCATTGAATGAACAACCAAGTGTAGAAAATCAGCATTCTCGATTGTTTTTCATGGATGGACCGGCTGGTAGTGGAAAAACGTTTACATATAATTATTTGATTGCTGAAACCAGCAGTAGAGGTATCAAATCTGCTACAGCTGCATGGACTGGCATAGCAGCAACTCTTCTTACAAATGGATCTACATTGCATGGCTTATTCAAACTTCCTGTTCCAATATTAGATAACAGCACATGTAATGTTACTCCAAACTCTATACATGGACACTTTTTAAGTCAGGTTAGTTTGTATTTGCTTGATGAAACATCCATGATATCAACAGTATGATATCCAGCATACTGTTGGCTCAAAATCGCAGTCAATTAACACACCAAGATATTTAATAACTCTCTAAGGAAATAGCCGTTTATTATTAATTATGATTTTTATTTCAACATTTTTTTCTCAGAAATGAAAAAAAAAAACAATTTCTGTTTTTCGGTTTTAAGACATATCAGACTAGCATTTAACCAGTTAACTATACATTTTATATTTTTTTATAAAAAATGATACAATTTTTGATATTTAGGGGCTAATGACAAACGCGGGGTAACATGGTCAAAATTGCATTATAGAAAAGTAAAGTTGACAATTTCTTTTTACATGCTGAGAGGGGATTTTATGGGCAGTTCTTGACGTGCAGTAGAACTCATCCCTGAGAGATTTAGATCATTAGCAGGTAGATTGGTTTCAATGGCAGCCATTTAAACCTATCAGCAAGATTTTCAAGGGGCTGCTACCATTTATTTTTATACAATAATAATTTTTCAAAGATGTTCAAAAAAGTATGGTGGTCTTCTCGAAGATGATTTAAAAGCCAAAAGAAAAAATTGCTAATACATTACATTTATGGTATTTTTTAAAATTATTTCTTTAAAATTGCTAACTATTTTTTAAAATGATTTCTTAAATTTTTATGTAAACTCTATGTGTTTTCAAATGAAGTGTAAAGTGAATGCCAAAATTGATTTTGTTCAACATCAATTCATGTTAAAAAATAAAAAAACAAAAACAAAAAATGCAATTGCAAGATGGTTTATTAACAGACAGCAATTAAAAAAAATTACAATTCATAAAGTTACATTCATTACCTTAAACCACAAAAAAATATTTTTGCTTTTAAGCTTGTTCCACAATAAAACAGAAGGTGCTTTTGCTTGTTTATAAATAGTCTAAAGTTTTTTATTAATAATATAGTAATATTTTAATAATAAATTTTCTGTGTATTAAATAAATATCAAGTTTTAAATTAAAAATTAATTATTATACTTAATCATATATATATACTCATCTAAATAATTTACTGCAAAACTAATTATAAATTAAATAATTCAATCTTAAATTGCTCAAACAAACTTTTCATAAGTAAATTGTATACTCAACTGTTTAGTGATACAAAAACGTTTGTCTATTCTGTCTCAAAAAACTAAAGTCGAACTTTTTATAAAACTTATTTATATGTTATATAGATAACATCATCCCCAAGCTTAAAATTCTTCTCTTTAAACTAAAGAAAAGAATTTTAGGCTTGGTATCTGATGATGCTAAAAATTCAATTTTAACAATTCATTTCTTAATTTCTTTTGTGATAGGTTTAGTAGCACAAAAGAAAATAATCAATGGATTGTTAAAATTGAAATTTTATTTATCACCATTATTTAAATATAATCTATTAACTAATTTGTCACGTGAGTTGATAAAGAAACCTATTCTAAATCTTTGAAAATGAACAAAATCGTATAAGATAAATCGTAAACATTTTTCCCCTTAATGATTGATTATTGTTATTACGACAAATTGGCAAAACAGGCTGACTCGTATCTCGTATAAACACTCCAGCCCGTTTAGCCGGTATAAGTATTAAAGATACTCGGTTTAGTTAAGGGCGAATTATTAATTATTCAAATTCTTTTATGTGGAAATAGCATGATTTTGTTATTGAATTATGTCCAAACAAGAGCTTTATTTGCTGTAATATGTTTGCTTTAAATATTTCTAATGTTTAAAGCAACTATTTTTGTTTTATATAATTTTCAAAACTTTTTTATTACTCCTAATTGAGAATCTAAGTAACACCATTTTTGAGTCTTTTGATCACAACTGCTCAACAGCGTTAACTTAATTTTAATTAAAATTTTTTGAGAAAGTGTCTTAATAAACAATAGATCTTAGCTCTAATCTGTTATAGTACATATTAATTGAATTTAATTGTCCAAACACAACATTTCTATCAATTTTCTCAAAAAAAATATTAGAAACTCGACCAAAGAGCTTATAATTAAGAAAAATTTTTGATAAACATTAGAACATATTGTGAGGTTAAACTATGAGGTTCATTTTACCTAAACGACGTATTTTTTTAAAACATTCAAAATTGAACAAGCAATCAAAAGAAGATTTAAAAAAAAAAAAAGATTAAATAATAAATAATACAAATAAAAAAAAAAAAAAAAAATAATAGTTAATCTAGATTTTTTTTGCTACAAACATTTTTGTTTAGTTTTACGGCAAAACTTTGTCGTTTTAATTTTTTTTGTCTTTTCATTTCGTCAATTTACAGATTTGATCATTTAACGGAAGTATGTCATAGTCAGACAGGGTATGCCGTACAGACGCTAAAATATTTTAAAATTACCATAACTACACCGAGTACCTTCTACATCGGGTAACCAGGATGGAGTATTCATACAAAAACGAAGAATAAAGAACAAGAGGTTTTACAAGATATACTACTTCACATACCGTTCATACCGGTACAGATCACGGTCCAGTAACACCTACCTGACGGTACGAATCACTTGAGATCATTTCCAATGGTATAAAGATATTAACATAATACCGAACTTCGACGTTCTTAGTCATGTTAATTTAATGTGACACAATAAGTTAGTAATCATTATTATTAATATTATTGTTATTATTATTTACACCCATTAAACACAAAACACTAAAGTCTATTAACGTCGAAATAACGTTTATACTAAGCGTTTAGTTTTGGTTAACTATTTGTTAAGAATGAAATCAAGATTAACGTTTAAAATAAACGTCCAAAAAACGTCGATATTTAAACGTATTTTAAACGTCTATTTAGGTTTATTATACTTATATAAATTTATTTAGATTTAGTTAATTTGTTACCTTAATTTTAGATTCGATTTAGTTTTAGTTACCTTAACTTTAGATCTTGTCTAATAAACGTTTATAAAGCTTTTAAGATTAAGTCTAATTAAACGAACATTATTCATTTACATATTGTGTAAGAGTTTTTTTGATTTTGTATATATATATATATATATATATATATATATATATATATATATATATATATATATATATATATATATATATATATATATATATATATATATATATATATATATATATATATATATATATATATATATATATATATATATATATATATATATATACAAGTTTTTAAACAAATCGTTTTTAGCCATTACGTTTTAATCGCTTAATCCTGTTGAAAAACGAAAATAAAAGGGCGAGTAAAGGCATAAACTCCTTAAGGTATGCAAAATCGAAAAATTGTATTGAAGTAAAACAATGTGTCATTAATCCGTTTATTCATTTGGCATCGGAATATCAAAGAAAATCAAGATCAAGCGTATCATCCTGATATTTTTTAAAAAAGTTTAAAAAAGACTGAATGTTTTTTTGATTTTTTTTTAAATATTTTTATTTTAATTTTTTTTTATATTTTTATATTTCTATTTTAAATGTTAGTCAGCATTATCATGGAAGTGGATGGAATTATCATGCATTATCGCGGAACTAGAGATGGAAGTGCAACGCTATTGAAATTCCTAGAACTATGCGTGAAATCTTTTGTTCATAAAACGTAGACATTCATAAATAGTTTCACTTAAGTGAAACTATTTATGAATTTCTATTGTATCGACATAAGTACTTATGCCGAACTTTGTGTAAACACTAAACTCGCTAACTCAATAAATTCTCTACAAAGGTAGAGTTTCCACTTATTCGTTTTTCTACAGAAACTGGATGAGAAAAGAAATAATAATCAAGTGAGCATGCATAGTTTACGGATAAATTAAAACATGCCCTTGTGATTATTTTGTCCTTTCCGTGAGTGGAAATTCGCCTTGAGTCTTTGAGGTTCACGTCACAGATGTTTATATTGTGTTTTGATATTAAAAAAAAAAATATAATAATTAAAATAATAATATTTGTTTTATGCATTAAGTTTATGCAATAGCGTACCGTTTGGTTTTCGTCGCGCATATATTAATACGATAATCACGCATATATTAATTGATAATAATCCAAATACTTTTATTTTAGTTAACAAAAATAGTAAACCTGTCCGTCAAACAAAAATTTTACCTTTAGAAAATAAACATAAGTTGTCGGAGCCTATATTTGGAACAAAAATTCACGGAAATAAAACTATTGCTGGTAATAGAATAGTTCGTAAATTTGAGGTCTTTATAGGTGGTGTAAGCAACCAAATTAACGAAGAACAGCTTAAACTGCATATGGAAACTGAGCTAGGCATTACGCCTATATCTATTACTTTAAATAGAGAAAACGAATACAACAGATTATATAGAGTCTCTGTATGTAATTCAGAGAAAGGAAAAATATTTAACCCATCTATTTGGGATAATAGTATAATTATTAAACCGTTCCGGAAAAAGCTTATATTCTCCATCGATGACCAACATTTCGAAACTAACGCAGACCGTAGAAAATTATATTAATCAAAATGGCTTCAAACAATATATTAAAGAAAAAAAATAGTGCAAAACCGTTTAGTATGTGTACTTTTAATTGTCAGGGACTTAAATCAAATATTCAATATACTGAGACCTTAATAAGTTCTCATGATATAACGTTTCTATGCGAACACTGGGTATTAAAACTCGAACATTATATAATCAAAAATATTTGTAAAAACTTCCACTCATTACTTTTCAGCCAGGCAAATAAACACGAACAGGGTCGACCTTTTGGTGGAAATGCATTTTTTATACGAAAAAATAAATTTCAAAATATCTTACCTCTGTACGAAGATGATAATATATTTGCAATAAAGTTACAAAAAAATAAAGTTAATATTATTGTAATTGGCATATATCTAACCTCATCACAAAACAATCAGTCGTCATTGAAGAAATACACAAGTCAATTAGACATACTAAAAGGAATTATGAATAGTCATGCGGAAACTGGTGAGATAATTATACTTGGAGATTTCCAATCGTTTCCTTACGGAATATACTATCTACTAGAAAGATCTAGCCCCAAGAGAAACAATTTGTCTCAGGTTTTATCGGAATTTATTGATTCGAATGATTTAGAATTAGTCGACGCAACTAAAGGTTCTGGTCCTGCAATCACATATCAACATCTCACATTGCCAAACTCTTCTTACATTGATCATATAGCTATACCAAATTATACATCTCTTCTCTTTTATAAATGCATTGTTATTTCTCCTTTCTTTCAAAATGTTAGCGATTATTTACCAATATCGATTTCATTTGGACTTGAAGGTCAACATCATCAAGAAAATGTAAAAAATTTAACAAAGGACTATAGCATTCCAAGTTATGTCTGGAGTATTTACGTTTTTATAAACTTATATAATATTCACTTAAATTCGAGTTTCATTAATTTTAACCCTAGTAGTAATTTTGAGAATGAACTTACCCAAATTTATACAACTATAACTAACAGTGCAACATCAGCTCTTAGAGAACACCTAAAGTTAAAGAAACGATCTTTACATTCAAAATCTTGGTGGACTCCTGAATTAACTCAAAGTAAAAAAGTTCTTTCCTTTCATTTTCAAAAATGAAGTAAAATGGGATTCGTAAAAGACACTACTTTTTCTATCTTTATTTGCTTTCTATTTGCTTGGAAAAATTTCCGCAAAGCCGTCAAAGTAGCCCAAAACAATAGGCTATATAAACAATATATAAAAATTGAAAAACTTAAAAAATCTATACCAAAAAACTTATGGAATACTTTTAGAAGTATGAAAAAAGATTCAAATTCAAAACTTTTTACTATAAATAATAAAAAAGATAAAGAATCCATCACCGCAGAGTTTGCTACTATTTTTGAAAAACGGTTAAACACTGAGAGAATAACTGATGGAGTTACTAATCTTAAAATTCCACCTTGCA